TATTATCTAAAATGTTTGTTCTATACAAAATTTTCCTAAAATGGTCCGTATTCGAGAAATTTGACAAAATGTAAAAAAATATTTTTTTTATAAAAATTGTTTAAACAAAAGTTGTTTGTAATATAATTCTCTATAATTTTTATTCTTTACATAATTTCTCTAAAATGGACCGTATTCGAGATATTTGAGAAAATGTGTAAATTTCGAAATTTGAAGACAACTCAAAAACGGATAAAGAAAAAAACATTAAATTTTAAACTTAAGTTTTATTTCGGCCTGACGTGACATGATCAGATTTTGGACAAAGTCGGAACATCTGGGGGGATACTTTATGGGAGGCCGTTTTTATATTTTATGGAATATATCTGTTATTTATGTTTGGAGAAGAAAATTGTTCAAATAAAAGTTACTTCTAATATTATTATCTATAATTTTTATTTTATGTCAAAATTTCCTGAAATGGTCCGTATTCGAGAAATTTGACAAAATGTGCAAAATTCTGATTTTTATGAAAATTTTTGAAATAAAAGTTGTTTGCGATATCGATCTCTATAATTTTTGTTTATACATGATTTTTCTAAAATGGACCGTAATGGAAAAGTGCTAAATTTAAATTTTTCAGTATTTTCGTTTTCAATGAATATCTGTAGAAAAATGTTTCGAGGTAGATGTATGTGGAAAATGTATATATTTAGTTTATCCTCTAAACATTTATAGAGGTGCTGAAATAGGTTGTACAAAATAACCGGAAAAAGCCTGTAATAACTAGATAGGAAAGTCATGTGTTGGACACATCAGATTTGTTTTATAAAATACTTAAAAAACTTATATTTTTAAATATCTACGATCTCTAGAAAATTTCAATATGGTAAATTTTCCAATCAATACTTCAAAAGATATATTTTTATAATAACTCTTTCTTTTCATAAATATTGATATTAATTCACATTTTTACATAGATAGATAAATTTTTATCTTAACCCATTTATTATAAATTATAGATATTCTTGATATTTTTTTAATTTTTTGAGTTATCTCTGTATCATATATGTTTTATCACGATATAAATTGTTCTCAGAAATTGCATGATTACTGATTATTAATGGTTTTTAAATATCTTCATATACAGTGTGTCCTAATAAAAAATTCTCGATTGAAATTTTTTAATGAAAGGCTAATTTTTAATATAATTCAGTTTTGAGAAATAAAGGATGTCTTCAGAAAACCTATTTTTCACTAAAGTAATGTGTCATTTATGTTGCAAAGTTATTAAGAAAAGTAATTTTCTTCATTAATTCTTCCTTATCTTCTTTCTTTGTCTTCCATATTTTCTTTTCTATTCCTTATTAGTTCTTCCTTATTTTCTTTCATTCCAATAAGCATCTGCATAAAGTCCTTAACCATTATTTCTACTTTCTGTTGGTTTTGCTCTATAACTGTGTTTTCTAAAATCTTGTCATCCTGTATATCTCTATCTATCTCCATATCAACAATAATTAGGTACCTATATAGCAAAATATCTTGCTTTTTTATAAATAGCTCTGCATAACTTAAGCATCAAATTTTTAAAATCAACTTAAGCGTAACAATTTAAACTTTGTAATTTTCTTTAATAATAGTTGAACAAATAAATGTATTACCTCCAAATGAAGGTCTTGTCATTGTAAAAAAACATAAGTATTATTTGGAATTAAAACTTTCTTAAATTCAAATAAAACAAGGCGATCAAAATTAATTAAAGTTAAGTGAGACACCCGGTATGAACAAAAATGAACAATAGGTAGTAGTTACTGGAAATACGATAATCTATATCATATGAATCGGACTTTAACCGAAATTCATCATTAATGTAAACAAGTTTATACATTTTAATGTAAAAAAATATACTAAAATAAATGTCTTTTTGTCTCTCTAATATAATATAAATAATATGAAAAACAGAGTGATCAGTGATCCCTATCCTTCCTGTTCTTAATAAAACGGTTTCGTACCGCATATCCAGAGAGACTACTCCTGAAACCAACCCTGAGATATAATTGAAACGGAAATGCATGTTATGATATTGTCCCAGTAAAATTATGACCAAACCAAAGTCAGTCTACCGTTTCACTTTTTGTCTTAGTGCGCAGATTCGTATTTATGGCGCCAAAATGCTATTTTATATAGAGGTGACCAGTTTAGCGATTTTATCACTTCATTTGTAATATTTGGCATAATTATCGGTTCTCAACTCGTATTAATATTTTTTTTTATATTGAATAAAGATCTAGTTTGTATTCAAAATTTGATTTGTTCAATATTCAATAAATAAAGCATTTTTTATGTATCACGTAGGACGTAGTAATGCATTGTTAAACAATAATTAATGTTACTTCAATTAAACAACTGTTTCGTGTAGGAAGTTTTAAAAAATATAAGTACTTTCATATAAATTTAAATCACAGAAAAATAAAATTCAACACAGATGACTCGTATAAATCGTATAGGAAGTTTAAAAAAAAAACGGTTGCTTCATATAAATTTAAATTAGAGAAATATAAAATTCAACACAGATGACTCGTATAAAATATTAAACAAATAATAAACTTCAAAGTATAATAATTGTACTCTATACAAACTCTTAAAAAAATAATAAACTCTTCAGCAAACTCCACTACTTGAAATATCCTTGGAAATTATACTTTTACTCAGACTGTAATGAAGGATTAAAAAGAAAGACAGCAATTTAAATCACAGTAAACAATAAAATTAAAAAAAACTATCTATTCTACTACAAAACCGAAAACAGTGACGAATTTACTTAAAAAAACTGTTAACTATACCTTCATCAGCAAAAGCTATGAAGTGTTCAGGTGAAGATTTAAAGCTGAGATCTAAGTCAAAGGTATCTCACAAGACTTTAAACTACAAGAGTCTCTCTGGACAACAAAAGTACTCACGGAGTTCCCCGGACAACAGAAGTACTCACGCCCAGGGGGACATCAACAGAAAGCTTGGAAAAGATCCCAGAAACATCAACCCAAACAGAGTCATTCATACAACAGAGCTCGACTTCTCATGTGAAAGTAAGTGTTCTAGCAGGGAATTTAAGTAAATATTACAGATTCTGGAAAAATATTTCACAGGATCCATTTATAAGGTCTTGGATTAAAGGTTACTCCTTAAACTTTATTTCTTCACCCATACAAAATATGATTCCAATTAAACCTGTCAGATCTTTAATTGAACATTGTAAACAAAATATTAAAGAGACTTCATCTCTTTTAACAACATTAGGTTTTATAATTAACATGGAGAAGAGTAACCTCAATCCATCCACTAACTGAAATGACTATGTCTCTTACCGAAAAAAAGAGGTTAAAAATTTTACGTTTGCTCAATTCTTTCCTAGAGATGTATTCCTGTTCAATTAGAGAATTTTCTAGACTAATAGGCGCTCTGGTAGCTGCATGTCCAGCAATCAGATATGGTTGGGTTTACATTAAAATCCTAGAACAATTTAGATTTGCAGCATTAAAAAGATCAAATGATTATGAGGCTATAATGATTATACCTGAATGTGTTAAGTTAGATATTAAATGGTGGATTCAAAACATTCCAACAAGCTTTGAATACATCACTAGATCTTCTTTTGCTTTTGAAATATTTTCTGATACGTCATTATTAGGTTGGGGGGCAGTACACAAGAACCAAAAGGTTTCGGGCAGTTGGACTGATCATGAAAAATCACACCATATAAATTTTTTAGAGTTGAGGGCTGCCTATTTTGCTTTAAGATGTTTTGTAAACGAAGAGAAATATTGTAATGTCCTTCTCAGAATTGATAACACCACGGCTAAATCATATATAAACAAAAAAGGGGGCATACGCTACCCCAAGCTCAACACTTTAGCAAGAACAATATGGCAGTGGTGTGAAGCTCGTGGTATTTACATATTTGCTTCTTATATAAGTTCAACAGATAATTTCGAAGCAGACTTTGAATCTAGGAGGTTTACAAATTTCTAATTGTAATTATTTTTACCCAGCTCCTGGTATCTACAAATATGAAATAATCTATCAAGGCTACCGAAAACGGTGCCTTGAATGTAAATGGTGTAATAGGAATATAATAAATATCTAAAGAATCATTAAAATATTTCTGTTTCAAATTTCGATATTCAAATATCTTTACACCAGATTAAATGATAGTACCCTAATATTACGCAAACATACGAGTATATTATTGTATTGGACATATTTTTATTTAATAGAATAATCATAATTCAAAGTATATACGGATACAAAGTGTAATCTAAAAAGAGGTCTGTGATAGTGATGTAAGAATACGTATCCAAAAATCCGTTGAATCCGAATAGTAAAAGGATCCGGATATTCCGGAATCAATGTGTAAATTCGAATACGGATTCGGAATCAAAAATGACAGAAATAAAATCTGAAATCCGAATACACGAATCGAATGCTTCATATACAGAGCCGATTGCGAGATTTGCGGGTGGCAACCGATGCGAAATCGGAATTCGGAATCGGCCTAACTAGCAACTAGCCTTGTTGCAATTCGTAGTCGGTTAGTCGGCATGTATTAATGGTAACAAAGTTGTATAAATATAAATAATATTCAGTGAATGAGAAATGTTATTTCTGATATTATTATAAAAACAAAATATTTGAGATTTTCTTGAGTTTATTATTCTAAAACATTAAAAGCTTCTGCTACTTCACTCTCAAACAAATTCTGTTAGGTTTAGCAACACTGCCCGGTTCCGATTCTACATGTCGCTGTGTATTTACGGTTGCGTATTATTATGACTTCTCACATATGGAATATGGATACGTATCCGGATGATGAATCCGAATATCTCTTGGTTCCGAATACGTATTATCCGAATACTAAAAAGATACGGATATTTACAACACTAGTCTGTGAATTAAACGGAACAGTTATAACATAATGGCCCATCTCTATTTTGAAGTACCGGTTTCGTCCTTGTGTTGATAAACGACTGAGTCGGGACAATCGACAATCGTGATCATTGTTTCGTCAGAGATAAGTGATAAGCAGTTTGAGTACACTTTTGTTAAAATAAGTAAACGAATGAATGCGTCTGTAGTTCACAGGATGTAAAAACTAGATATTTATAAGAACATAAGTGCCATAAATTTCGGTGTAGTATTGTTTGGAAAAAGTAAAGACGATGGATTTGTTAGGTGAGTTAGTATTTTTATTTTTTTTTATTATAAACATGTAATCGGTAGGTATATAATATAAATAATATTTACCTACAAAATAGACAAAAAAAAACAAGTTTATAAATTATGTATCTACGTAATATTTTGCATAAAAAGGTATACCTATATAATTAAAGAAGTAAACCTACCTGCATACTAGTTATGTAATTTGGAAGAATTCGTATGTATTATGAAATTAGTTTTTTAATACAATTTATAGGTTATGGCAGGAACTATTAAAAACGGTAAATATCTAGTTTGAGCTCTTTTCGATTACGGAAAAACTAGGAAGAGGTATTTTGGTACTTGTAGGTATATTTATTATAAACAAAAAAATTTAAATTCCATGATGGGTGTGAAGTTATCCATATCCACAAATGTACACTGATAAAAATACAGCTCCATTGTAATCCAAGATTGGAAAAAACGTATGAATTTTAAAAAATATAAGTAGGTTTTAAGGTTATTTAGGTTTTTTAAGTTTTTTTTAGGTTTTTTAAGGTTTTTAGTTCATATGCGGAAAAAAATATTATTAATAAAGTAAAACAAAAAATAGAAGGTAAAGTTAAAAAATAGAATTTTATTAACACGTTTATGGACAGTGACGCCGATAGACGTCATAACAGTTTTTGCAAATTAGCAGAGCGCCGTAAGGCGTCAAATATTTAATCATTGCGTCAAAATGCCGATCAGCGTTACGATATTCATATGAACTAGTAGTGATCGGAGACCAACTGTCACCACATGTTAAAGAAAAAGCTTTACTGTCAAATGTAATTTTTTAACATACTTAGGAATCCTTTATAATCAAGAGAGCTTCTATTAAAATATTTTTTGAAATAAGAAGTATCGTCAAAACATGATTTTTTCAGTCAGGTTGTGTCCATCAACGTGTTAAGTATTTATATTAAAAAAAAAAATCTGATGTGTCCAACACATGACTTTCCTATCTAGTTATTATAGGCATTTTCCGGTTATTTTGTACAACCTATTGCAGCATCTCTATAAATGTTTAGAGGATAAACTAAATATATACATTTTACACATACATCTACCTCGAAACATTTTTCTATAGATATTCATTGAAAACGAAAATACAGAAAAATTTAAATTTAGCACTTTTCCATTACGGACCATTTTAGAAAAATCATGTATAAACAAAAATTATAGAAATCGATATCGCAAACAACTTTTAGTTCAACAATTTTCATAAAAATCAGAATTTTGCACATTTTGTCAAATTTCTCGAATACGGACCATTTCAGGAAATTTTGACATAAAACAAAAATTATAGATAATAATATTAGAAGTAACTTTTATTTGAACAATTTTCTTCTCCAAACATAAATAACAGATATATTCCATAAAATATAAAAACGGCCTCCCATAAAGTATCCCCCCAGATGTTCCAACTTTGTCCAAAATCTAATCATTTCACGTCAGGCCGAAATAAACCTTAAGTTTAAAATTTAATGTTTTTTCCTTTATCCGTTTTTGAGTTTTCTTCAAATTTCGAAATTTACACATTTTCTCAAATATCTCGAATACGGTCCATTTTAGAGAAATTATGTATAGGACAAAAATTATAGAGAATTATATTATAAACAACTTTTATTTGAACAATTTTTATAAAAAATTATGTTTTTTACATTTTGTCAAATTTCTCGAATACGGACCATTTTAGGAAAATTTTGCATAAAACAAAAATTATAGATAATTATATTAGAAGTAACTTTTATTTGAAGAATTTTCTTCTCCAAACGTAAATAACAGATATATTCCATAAAATATAAAAATGACCACCTATAAAGTACCCCCCCCAGATGTTCCGACACTGCCCAAAATCTAATCAGCTCATTGGACGCTGAAACAAAGCTTAAGTTTAAAATTTGGTGTTTTTCTGTGTATCGGTTCATGAGTTATGCGTTATACAGACACACACAGACACACACACACACAGACATCATCGCGAAAATAGTCAAAACGGATTCAGGGGACCTCAAAACGTAAAAATCCGTCGAAAACTCGAGGTCGAAAAAAATCATGATTCCTATACTTTCCTTATATCTGTATACAGATAGGAAAGTAAAAAGAATTCAGCAAACAAAACTTTTGACAAAATAATTTTTGCAGTTGATTTCTCAACTTTGAATGGATAAATCCAAAAGTTATTTAAAAAATCTGATGTGTCCAACACATGACTTTCCTATCTAGTTATTACAGGCTTTTTCCGTTTATTGTGTACAACCTATTGCAGCATCTCTATAAATGTTTAGAGGATAAACTAAATATATACATTGTCCACATACATCTACCGCGAAACATTTTTCAATAGATATTCATTGAAAATGAAAATACTGAAAAATTTAAATTTAGCACTTTTCCTACAATTTTTCCATTACGGTCCATTTAAAAAAAATCATGTATGAACAAATATTATAGAGATCGATATCGCAAACAACTTTTATTTCAACAATTTTCATAAAAATCAGAATTTTGCACATTTTGTAAAATTTCTCGAATACGGACCATTTCAGGAAATTTTTACATAAGGCAAAAATTATAGATAATAATATTAGAAGTAACTTTTATTTGAACAATTTTCTTCTCCAAACATAAATAACAGATATATTTCATAAAATATATAAACGGCCTCCCATAAAGTACCCCCCCAGATGTTCCGACTTTGTCCAAAATCTAATCATTTCACGTCAGGCCGAAATAAAACTTAAGTTTAAAATTTATTGATTTTTTCTTTATCCGTTTTTGAGTTTTCTTCAAATTTCGAAATTTACACATTTTCTCAAATATCTCGAATACGGTCCATTTTAGAGAAATTATTTATGGGACAAAAATTATAGAGAATTATATTACAAACAACTTTTGTTTGAACAATTTTTATAAAAAAAAATATTTTTTTACATTTTGTCAAATTTCTCGAATACGGACCATTTTAGGAAAATTTTGTAAATAACAAAAATTATAGATAATAAAATAACTTTTATTTATTTAACTTTTATTTAAAAAATTTTCTTCCCCAAACGTAAATAACAGATATATTCCATAAAATATAAAATTGACCACCTATAAAGTACCCCCCCCAGATGTTCCGACTCTGCCCAAAATCTAATCAGCTCATTAGACGCTGGAATAAAGCTTAAGTTTGAAATTTGGTGTTTTTCCGTGTATCGGTTCATGAGTTATGCGTTATACAGACACACACACACAGACAGACAGACATCATCGCGAAAATAGTCAAAACATATTCAGGGGACCTCAAAACGTAAAAATCCGTCGAAAACTCGAGGTCGAAAAAAATCATGATTCCTATACTTTCCTTATATCTGTATACAGATAGGAAAGTAAAAATCTAAAATCGCAGAATTGTCACTTTTAGGTTTTTTTAAAAAAAAACCTAAAAAACCTAGGTACAAAAAACCTGTACCTGCAAATGCTGTAATAGTCATATAACTTGGTTCAAAATTCACAATGCAAAATTATGGTGTCCAAAAGTTAAGACGTTTGTGATATATATTCATATTTGTTTCTTAGTTTTCATTCGTGAAAAGGTTTTGGACACCCTGTATATATATTTTAACATATCAAATTTTTTAAACGTACTAAAAGGATAAAATAATATTTTTTTTCTGTTGGTGTTAGGCCTTTAAGATAATATAATTGTTTTATTATTATGATAGTATTTAAATACTTTTAAGCATTTAAATATAGCATAAGTATTTAAATACCTTTTCATTATTTAAATACCTTTGTGTAAGTATTTATCTCAAACAAGTATTTAAATACTGTAGATATTTGTTATTTAAATACTTTTTGCTTTAAAAAAGTATTTAAAATTTAAATAATCGTATTTAGGAAGAAGTATTTAGTATTTAAATACTTTTAAAAAGTATTTTGTCCAGCTCTGTTTACGATTACCGAAAAACTAGGAAGAGGTATTTTGGTATTTGTAGGTATCTCTATTGTAAACAAAACAATCTAAGCTCTATAACGGGTGTGAAGTAATCCACTTCCACAAATGTACACTGAGAAAAATACAGCCCCATTGTAATGGTCATATAACTTGGTTCAAATGACATGTAGAGGCTTTTTGTTTGCAGATTTCAATTGGGGAGGTTTCAATACCTAACAACCATACCCGCAATTAACTTTTGCTCAGTCTGAAGGGGTGCATTTGGGGGTGAAATTAAAAAAACATAGAAGCCACAAATGGCATTGTACACCTTTCAGCTTGGGGTACGGTCGACTTTAGGTCCAGTAAAATTTTAAAGAAATTTATTTTTGATCAGAAAGAGCGTATTTTAAATAGTACATTTCAAAAAAAAAAAAAAATTTGTGGTAAATGCATTTAAGCCAAAAAAAAATTATTTAATTTCTATAAAAATCAGCATTTTGACGACTGTAAACATGGAAACTCGATGGTTTCTGTCAAATTTAGAAAATATAATTACAACGTTGCCAGATTGTGATAAAATTAGTAGTTAATGGAAAATTGTGATTGCGCATACCGATCCATAAATATGCAACAAGAAAACGAACGAAACGAAAGTCGTAGAGTGGCGGCTTCGCAGCCACCAAAAAACATTAACCCATACCTGGCTACGCCGACCGGCACAGACTCCAACGGCCTGGACACAGCTCAAATTGAATTGAAAACGTATACTTTTTTAACTAATTTTTTAATATGTAACAAGAAAACGAAGCCGCCACCCTACGATAAGTCTAAGAGTAGCGGCTTCGCCGCCACCAAAAAACATCAACCCATACCTAGCTACGCCGACCGGCATAGACTCCAACGGCCTGGACACAGCTCAAATTGAATAATTGAAATGAAAAGTCTCATATAAACACATTTATATTCTGGTTTTATCATTTGGCTTGGAGCTATTGAAAAAACAGCCACTGTCATTCCTGTTATGTACGTTCTTTTACTATGTTTGACAACTCCACATTTACAGAAATAAAAATATCAGTTGTCATATTATTCATAAAAAATAATATACCATGAATATATTTATTTATAACAAATAAGAAAAATCAATTGGCAACATCGCTAAAATCACGCACAGGCGCTTTTAGTGTAAATGTCAAATCGAAAAAATTAAAAACAATATGGCTACGTGAGAATGTAGTGAATGAATGCATATTCTTAATTTTTTAGCTTACAAATGTGTTTTAATAATATTTGTTACTTTAATTAGGTTAGTGCACACTTATAGAAGATTAAAAAGGGTAAAAATATTATGGTTAAACTTAATCTTTATGGAAAAAGTGACAAAATTACTGGACCTAATATCGACCGTAGCCGTTATGTAGTTTGCTATTTTCTTCATGCTAGCATTTGTAAAGACGTCTGAAGGGTGCAATTGCGGGTGAAATTTAAAAAAAATATCACCCTTAACACACCCAAATCGGTTCATGTTAAACGTTTCACTAATATATTCATTTTTAACATTTAATATTATTTGACAGTAACCACTTTTATTATTACACCTACAATGAAGTATGCGAGTTGCTGTCAACATAGGTGAATATCTAGCACCATTCATGGATAATCGATTTCAAATAAAGTCTATTCAAATTTAATTTACGCCTGATGTAAACAGAAGCAGGTGGACGCTAAAATTGAGCAGGGCCGTATTTTACTTTTCCGTCTTGTAAAAATGTAAAAAAGAGTGTAATTGTGAAATTATTTTTTTATTACGATAAAAACATATTTTGTAAAGTAAAACTATAAAATAAATGCCATACACGGTCTCCCAGACTTAAGTGACATTTCTGGACGAAGATAGGTGAGCGACATAAACTGCGTTAACCTGCAATACAAATTAATAAATGTATTTGACTTTAAAAGAGATGGTTGCATTATATTTAGTTCATTACATATGTCTACTGTGATACAAAGCATTAAAACAATCATATTATAAAATTATATTGTACAGGGTATCCAAATAATTGCAAATTCTTTAATAGCTAATATATATCTACTAAAAGCAATAAAAAAAATTAAATATAAGAGGTATTTGGTATTTGAATTTGGTATTTGATTTAAAATTGTGCATCTTAAAAAGAAACCTTTTGTATTTTTGATAACTTTTGTTCTTTATTGTTCTTGTTCTACTAGTATTTAGATTATTATAGCAATCTTCCTTACTTAACTTAGCACTATTCTGAATCGGATAAATTAGTTAGACTTGAAAGGCTATCTTCATTAATCAAAATTACAAGTGGTTCTACCTGAACCTCTATAATATTATCCAACTCCCACATTTTTGCTTCAATGTGAAGTATTATGTTGTTTTGCTGGTTAGCCATTTCATCTATTACATACCTATCATAATGTTTATGTTGCTTACCAAGTTTTAGAAGTTGGATCTTAAGCATTTGGTAGTCGAATTCAATTTTTTTCCCTTATAGCCATTTTTAAATATAACCTTTTTTAGACGTCATAGATATTTTTTCCAGCTTTCTCGAATAATAATGCCGTTATCTTCTAATTTTGGTAGAGTGTTTGAAAACCACTCTTTGAACAATTCTCCACACATTTCTTCATGGTAGTCACCGGATTTTTCAACTCAAATACATAAAGTGTATTAGAGACAAAGCCTTCTTCACTTCCAATATGGCATATAATGAGCTGATTTTACGCACATACCTGATGGGTTTTTAAAACCAGTTAAAAGTTCATCCAAAAAGGCTTGTCTGGATGAAAAAACCGACATATCGAAACATACTTTTGATTTGGTGTGGCCTGCGTTAATCCAAGTCTCATCAAGATAATATATTTTTTGCTTTTCTTCTCTGTACCGTTTTATTTTTTGTGGCGTAGGACGAAACAATTTCATTTTTGTCTAAAAGCAAACTATTTTTTCCTCGAGTTTTAAATTTAAAATTAAGGGTTTTGAAAAGCTTGTAAAATGTAGCTCGCTTAAAAGTAGACAAATATGGATCATCGTTGACTTCTTATAAAATCTTATCAATTGTTGGAAGTTAATTTCTAAAGAAGAATTGATGTACTTTGCGCCTTATTGCATTTTTATCAAAATCATCCACAGACCACTAATTTGTTTATAACGTAGCTTTCTTTTTGGTTCAGACAATTTATGAATCTGCCTATACTCCTTCATAACATTAAAAACGGTTTTAGCGCACATCCCTGTTTTATCAACAACTCTCCTTTCAACATCATGTACCAACATATCAGGGTTCTATAAAATTTAATGCTTATAAATATTAAGAACCATTTCTTTAGTACGGATGACCAAATGTCCCTTTTCAGTCGCTTTTTAGAAGGAGTAAAAACATTTTTCTAGACTTTATCTGCAGTATCTGTGGATGACATAGTGTCACGCAGCAATTACAAAATATAGTCAATTAAATGTCCATAAAATAGAGTAAAACATGTTCAAACTAACAACAACCACAAAAACAAAAAAAATAACACAATATATGTATATCTAAACTATAATATAATGAATTATAATCAATCAAACATACAAAATGTCTAAACTAACCAGCACGGTAAATGCTACTAAAACGCCGTTTATAATTATCCAAATTGAACTAAATTCGACTCTGACAAAAAATATTTGCGCGACGTCTAAATGACAAAAGACCGATTAACCAATAGAAGCGCAAAAAATGTCACGTGAGCTGTTGCTGAATGGGAGAAATTGTTTTGACGCGGCGTAAATGAAATCTGAATAGACTTTAGTCGATTTATTTATTTCTGATTGGTTCTAACGATAACGTAAATTGCGATGTGATTGGTTAAAATTTCAAATCTGATAGGCAAGGGAAATAATATAATTTCATTTTCTTTTGCAGAGGACTTCGTAATAGCTCTTCTAAATGAAAATATTATCGAAAATTACACAGCAGACACCGAAAAAGTTCGTGCTTTTTATGATAGAAATTACAAAGAAAAAACCAAACTAAAATTTTTTCCCTTTACACTATCATTATGGACAAACTGGTATGTTCTAGAATGGTCCAATGAGGAGGTTATTTTCGATACAAATTGGATTAACTATTTTAAAAGATTGGAAGAAGGTAATTGAAGATGCATTTGTTTATGATTTTTTGTATAATTTAATGTCACAGGGATTTAAAATTTAATCAAAATTCCTAAAAATATGTATATTAATATCACAGCTTATACAATACAGCTAAAACACTCTCTTGGCGGCAACGGTTTGCGTCGATTTCGTCGCGCATCGCTTAAGCTCCGCCTTCGAAGGGAAAAGACAGTTTTGGTGTTCAGAAGCGTACTTAGGTAAGGTGTTCAGTCGTGCGTATAATTTCGTTTATTGTATAATTTCGTGGAGCCTATAATTTCGTTGATTGTATAATTTTGTGGAGCCTATAATTTCGTTGATTTTGTTTGAGTTAAAGGTACTGTTATTATTTTGGTGACTCTTTAGCTATGAGTAGAATGAGTGAAAAAAAAAGACATCATTCTGTTTGTGCAGTCAAAAGCTGTTTTAATAAGGGTTATACCTGCAAGAAAACATTCTTTAGTTTTCCCAAGGACCCAAACCGATAAGTACCACATTATAAGAAATTTTCATTGTTAAAAAATATAATTTATACAGGGTATCCCATTAGTGCGTTATTGTTCATTATTTTGTTGTAGACACGCAAGAAAGTTTTAAATAAAAGTTATATGGATTTGAAAAATACCTACATATTTTAAAAATATCTTTGGATATACAGGGTGTCACGTTTTTGCCTGGCAAATTAAAATGTATGTTTTTTAAATGGAACACCTTGTATTTTATTTTATGATAAAATTATTAACTCCCTAAATTATTGTAAAGACGAATTGATACAGAAAAATTTTATCAGGTATGTGTGTGGTTACCTTTTAATAAAAGCCTTGCGGATCCACTCCTCTGCGATACCTGTCTTAAATATAACAAAGATCACGTTGAATTAGATGATTTTTCTTTTTATTGCTTTTTAAAGGCATATGATAACGCCAATCCAGATACATTTGGAAATCTGCAACTGTCAAATGATGAATTTGTAGAACTAATATTCAATATTGAAAAGATATTTCAAAATAATTTTGAAGAATTGGCTACAAAAAATAACATTTGTACCACACTTTTAGAATTAATTAACCCAATACCCTTTAGTCATCCATGCTAACGTTTTCCAAAAGAATAACTTATTTTATTGTATGTTTAATCTCAATAACTAAAAAATATACTGACAATTAGTTTGACAGAATTGTCATTTATTTAAAATTTTAAAAATAATAGCAGTCGGTTGATCAAAATATGAACGGTGATTGGCGAATTTATTTTTTTTTGCAGTGTTCTCACTACCTAGAATGGATATGAAATATATTCGTTCAATTGAAGGCAATAGCATACTTTTTCGTTTTGTAATCTGTGCATGGATATTAGCCAATCTATGCACATACTACAAAACGAAAAAGTATGTTATTGCGTTCAACTACGAATATATTTCATATCCATTTTAGGTAGTGAGAACACTTTAACAAAATTAAATCTACAAATCACAGTTCATATTTTGGTCACCCAACTCCTATTATTTAAATTTTTTTAAATAAGTGACAATTCTGTTAAACTAATTGTCAATATATATTTTAGTTATTGATATTAAATATACATTAAAATTTTTGTGTAGACTCGATAAATAATAGCATTTTTGTTTTTATTGTGTCCACATTTAAAAAAAAATAAATTTTTAATCAAACTACATGATACTAATTTAATTACGAGTATTAAAACTAAAGTCCTGAAAGTTTCGGTGAAGATGAGGACAGAGCATCTGCCTTCCACGCGAAAAGCCCGGGATCGAATCTAGGCCGAGGACTAATCAATTTTTCATGTTAATTTTATTTTATAAATTAGTCAACTTCGTAAATTATTTTAAAATTAGTTATTTTGTCTAAATAACCTAAAATAATTTTTTAAATTTGTAGATTTTCGTTAGTAGGTCGTAGAAAAAATATACTGACCATATCGAGTGGATTGTTCATATCACAATCAGACGATTGAGTACTCCGCATACGACGTCGTGCTCAAACTTCGTCTTTGTGTGATATTGCTATCATATCCACCCTTGTTGAACACACTATAATTTATTTGTTTTCTTGGTTTAAACCAAAACTTAAGTTTTACATCAGAAATAGGAACTAAATTAATTTACTTTTCAAGTTTTCTTATAAAAATCGATATTACTTTCTCCAAGTACAAATTTAGTACCTACCTAAAATAAGTACTAATTATGTAATATCGTGTAATATTGTAATTCAAATTTCACATTACTATAAAGTTTCAAAATTCCCTACTTCGGTATGGTCAGATAAAAATTGAATATATTATATTAATAAAAACTGTCAAAGTATTACTTCTACAAATCTGTATTTCAATTAATAAGAATACATCTAAATATAACCAATAAATAAAAGCACAAATTCTTTATAATTCCAAAATACCATAGAGTTCCCAGACCTCAGTCGAAGCATTCGTTTATCTAGGTATAAACCCTTTGCGCGAAGAGTAACACTTGCCAGAGACACGGGGTACCACTTGATTTGCATCCACGAGCGTGACACAATTCTTTAACAATTGAAGCCCTTGGTGTAAAAAGGATCCAAGCCACAATTTGTCGTGAAGTGACTGTTTTAGCTCAAAACATTTGTTAACGAGGATTTTACTAGCCACATACAAATTATTTTACCTTTAATCCGAAAGATGTGCTATTTTTAGTAAAATATTTATATTTAAATAATGTTTCTAACAGAGATAGCACCATTCCGTCTTGCTTGGTTCTCGACCGCCAGATCAAAGACGCCGACACGGAGTTGTGGATCTGTATTGTATAAGCTGTGTTAATATCCTCAATTTAACTGATAGGATTTATATAATTGATTTTTCCTAAATGTTACTCAAATCAACCTTTTTTGGTTAAAAAATAATTAAAATTTAAGACGTATTTTTACCACAAGTGAACCAGGATTTCAGATTTCTTATAAATATTTATTTTTAATTTTTCAGATAAATCCCTTGGCAGAAATTACCTTACTAATACTAAATGTTTATTGTGCGATGTTGCGTATAATAATTCTGATGAAAATCATTCAAACAGCGAAAGTCACAAGATTCGCTTGCAATATGTAAATCAGAAGTAAGTCTTTCCAAATATCATAAAATCACAATGTTTAATTTGATTCAAATTATACCTAAATTATTTTTACTAACGCTTTGTAATACCTAAGTACAATTGTGTACAATTAAAATTCGTAATAAAAAAAAACAAAAGCAACCTATAACTTAACACAAATAAATCAACAATGATTTTGAATAAAATATAAAATTATTTATTTCCCATTCTTATTTAAACAACAGTTTATTTATTAATAATTTATTTAAACACTTATTTATTTTATAACATTACTATTATAATTTACTTATATTTCGAATGTCTTTAAACTGTTGACTATTTATCTTCACTGTTCATATATCTAATGATTTCCCGTTGATCCTCCACCAATATTTATATACAAATTTAAAATTACGGTGAAGGTTCCAGAATTTTCTATCCAAAATTAGAAACATTATCACGTTATATTTGGAATACACTAGAAACATCCCGTTCTTTCTCGAATAGTCATCGAAAGCTCCTCCGCCATAGTCGTCACATATGTTTGGTCTTAAGGGGTTTAAGGACAAGATGAACCTCAAAGGCCAAATAAGACAGAGAGGGACTTGGAGGATTAGAGCATGACTGAATAATGAAATGGCTCACATTACAATAATTTGTAATTATAAATAAAAAACAAAAAATGAAGCCAACAAAATGTAAATAATATAATAATTAAAAAATTAAAAAATTATATGACCGAGACCGAATACTACTTATATCTACGATAAATTAGTGATGACGTAACTTATGTTCCTCTGACAATTACAGTTTAATGAATATTATAGTAGTCCAATCATTATAGTAAGTTCACCTCGGAATTCGAGATACCCAGCTGTAAGTCTGTAAATACTTGTATATTGACACCCTAAAAGTTGTCTCAAAACCTACATATAGTAGGGTGTACGCATCTATTAAATTTCAAGGTCAAAGGTCACAAAAATCGGTTTTTTTGCGCTTTTTTTGTAAATATCTCATTTCCTATGGGATTTTTGCTATTTGTATTTATTATCAATATTGTAAAATACAAAATTCTCTAAAAATTTTGTTTAAAAAAATTTTTCATACGGTGAACCGTTTTCGAGATAGATGACGGAGAGCGCGCGGTCACAGCATCACTTCAGGTCAACCGGTGCCTCCGGTCGAAAACGCGCCATATATAGTTGATGAAATATCGATAAATCAATGATTATAAATATTTGTCAATTTTTATTAACTATTATATTATATTTTATCATTTTTTTTCCTAACCTATCCACTTTTTATTTAGTATTAATTTATTTAACAACACTTACCTGCCCATGTAATTGCAAAATTGTTAATGAAAATATAGGAATTATATTTGAATTTTAACCTAATTAATATTATTAAATTCTTACATGATGAAAAAAAAAAAACAAATAAATTATGAATTAATCTTTTTATTAAAAAATTTCATTCAATACATTTATTTTTATTAAAAGTAAAAAAATGGAATAAAAGGTACAAAAACTACAATTTATAATTTTAATAATCTTCTTCCTCTTCATCGTCGTCTTCCGGCTGCTGGTAAATTTCAAACTGGTCTTCATTATCGTCTTCAACGACATTTCTCTCTAGTTCTTCCATGATTTCGGGGTCAAAGGTTCCATCTTCGTTAATGTCGCTCTGATATGGTAGAGCATTGAGACAAGCTTGCCCATTACATTGGCCACAAGCTAAAGAGCATTGCAAGCCCGCTTTCCTGCATCAGCATCGCGAACCACAACCACTCTTGCAGTTGCAGAAAATTGTATATAGCAAATCTTCTTGAGCAGGTGGTAAAATTGTCATGATAGGCTCCAGAAAATCGTTTCGCATTGCCCAACTCCATACCTGGGGTTCCAAATCATGCCTTAACCAAGTTTGAATTTAATAATATACACGTTTGAAAGGTTGATGAGCAGCTGCTTTTGTTGGTGGAATATTTGAAAGCTGCACAGGTTAATTAAGTTTTGTAGACTTGACGTAATGCATATAACGAAGATGATCGAGACTTTTCACAGATTTCGGAGCATTATAGACTGCCAATAAGATTTGAGTTCCACTCTCTAAAGGCGGGTACAGATCTGAGCACGTACGCGTATGAGGCAAGCCGAGGACGCATGAGCATGCAGATGTGGACGGACTTCCGAGGCGCGGCAAATTGCCTCGTTGTGTGCGCCGTACGGCCTCGCCCCGATCCGTTTCATGGCGGTACATCAAAGGGAGGCAATGCGTAGTACGTGCTCAGTCTGGACGGTGAATTTGTACCATACAGCACCGTACAGATTATAGAGAGTTTTTAGTATTATTTTGCAAGGAATGGAACCAGGAAAACGTTTTGCTTTTTCTGGATTTAAATAATCAGCGTGATATCTTAAGAGAGCAAAACTCCAGTTCTATAACAACACAATAAAAAAATGATATCCTTGGCAGGAAATCAACCATCGATTCCCCTCCTTTTTTCTTTAATGTGTCGGATAAAATTATAAAGCATGCACTTAAGTCCGCAACGTCATCCTCATCCTTCATTTTTGTTTTAATTTTACGAATTTTCTGGGTATACAGTTGCGTGCTCGTAAATTTACTGGATCAGTGGCGAACAGCCGATCTGTACCCGCCTTAATAATCTCTGGGCCGAACAATTTTCTTTCTCAAATGCTGCAGCTAGTTCATTCATATTTGTCAGTTTCTCAAAAACTTTAAAAAATGATTTTTTTTCTTTTTAAAACGCGCAGAAGTTGTGTCACAGCCACTTAATGCGTGCAGAAATAAAATATGTGTTTTGGAATGAGGATAATTATCAAAACTTTTAGTCAAGTATATCCCCGTTTTTACATTTCCTTTCCCAACTTTTTTAAAGAAAATGTCTTGTTCGTAAGACAGTGTACGCCCAATTAAAATGACAAGTAAATCAATATCTTGTCCTATTATAACTGCAGTTTTTTCAGAATTTGATTCTTCAATTTGCAGTTTCAACAATAAGAACATCAGCATTATCTCTGGCTTGTTTAGTAGTAATATTTGCAGCTTGTAATTTTTCAATTAACATATTAATGAGCATATCTTTGTTATTTCGATTTGATAAGAATTTTTCTTGAGTAACTGGTACAACTATTGTTTCATCTTCTCTGCTGCTCCATAGCTTTTACGTTCTTACTGTAATCTTAATTTTTTTAAACAAAATTTGTAGAGAATTTTGTATTCTACAATATTCATAATAAATACAAATAGCAAAAAACCCATAAAAAATGAGATATTTACAAAAAAGCGCAAAAAACCGATTTTTGTGACATTTGACCTTGAAATTTAATAGTTGCGTACACCCTACCATATGTAGGTTTTGAAATAACTTTTAGCGTGTCAATATACAAGTATTTACAGACTTACAGCTGGGTATCTCCAGTTCCGAGATTCTTACCTAATTTAAGCTTAAATGACTGGGCTATAGGTATTCACGAGGGTATTCATGAATAGTTTTAAGTATAGTTTTAAGGTATTCCACGTCCTTAAATATCATAATTAGTCGACCGTTTGGAAAATAATTTTTTTTTCGGAAAGAAGATCTCGCCTCAAAAAATTGAAAGTCTGACTTCTAAAGGAAAAGTCGCACAAACTTTTAGAGGACATTTTCTTTTTTTTCATGACATTCTAAGATATATCACAATTAGTCGACCGTTGGGAAAATAATTTTTTTTTTTTAAGAAGAAGACCTCTTCAGGACATGGGTGCAGATAAACCGTTCCCGAGCCCATATTATTTGATATATGACCAAAATATGTTGAAGAACGGTTCAATAGAGTTTAAAAGTTATAAAAAAATATTTAGAAGCTCCTGATGTCGCTAGAGAAACTTGGAATATTTTATGAACAATATGTAAATTGTGGACCACAAAATTTTTTATTACTTGATCTAAAAATTTGAAATAATTCAACATAGGGTATTTTGGCCTGGAAAAGACGAAAATGACAATAAAAAACGGATAGGGCTCACGTGGAATTTTTTGAATTAAAATAGCACGTGCTCAAAAAAAGTCTAGTCTTAACAAAACTAGAAATTGTTTTCTATTTATATTAAAAAAATTCCCGAAACTGAGTGTAGAAAAGCTGAGCCACAGATATAGTATATTACATTACGAGTGTGGAAAGTGACATTTTTCACACGAGTGGGAAATATAGTCGCACGAGGCGCAAGCCGAGTGCGACTATCACACGAGTGTGGAAAATCACTTTTCACACAAGTGATGTACAATATTTTTCCTACGACCACAAAATAATGTCATCAAAAAAATGTAAAACCAAGGTTATTATTACTATAATAATTAAAATGTATTTAAAAAAATAATCAACAATAATCGTATTTATTCAATTTTCATATTTTCTAAACAAAAAAAAACTAAAAAAAATAAAAAAAAAATAAAAAAAAATAAAAAAAAACAAAAAAAAAATTCTGCCCCGACAGGATTTGAACCATAGATTGAACGCGGTCGAAAAATGGCAAAATTGATAAGTTCGACGTCCTAACCAGCTGAGCTAACAGCCCTTGTGTCAATTGAATGATCTAATCGGTTATGTATTTAACCAAAATAAAGAGCAACCATTATTTTAAAATTATTTTAATAATAATTGTTAAAGATAAATATCTAGGATCTAATTTACAACAATTTCAATAATTTAACAATCATATCGATTTTAGTATTAATATGGATATTACATAGATCAAAATAGAAATTAGCTTACAAAATAATATCAAAAAAATGTAAAACCAAGGTTATTATTACTATATTAATTAAAATGTATTTAAAAAAATAATCAACAATAATCGTATTTATTCAATTTTCATATTTTCTAAACAAAAAAAAACTAATAAAAAATAAAAAAAAAACAAAAAAAAAATTCAGCTCCGCCAGGATTTGAACCATAGATTGAACGCGGTCAAAAAATGGCAAAGTTGATAAGTTCGACGTCTAAACCAACTGAGCTAATGGGCCTTACGTCAATTGAATGATCTAATCGGTTATGTATTTACCCAAATTAAAGAGCAAACATAATCTTAGTTATTTTAAAATTATTTTAATAATAATTGTTAAAGATAAATATCTAGGATCTAATTTAAAACAATTTCAATAATTTAACAATCATATCGATTTTAGTATTAATATGGACATTACATAGATCAAAATAGAAATTAGGCGTTTGACATTTTTTGACAACTACTGCGGAAAAACATATTCTCACTTGGGTGGAAAGTAAATTCTTAGTCATACGCGTGTGATATAGGACACTTTCCATAGGACTATATAGTGTGATATGTGTCACTTTCCTAAGTGGTCGTAGGAAAAGATCATTAATATAAGCTCATGTTATATAATTTAATCATCAGAAAAGCTGTTGTGCAGTGTTATTTATTATCTAGCTTGGTCGTTTGGTAGATTGTTAAAAAAATATAACATGTTCTATTTATAGTGATGAAAATCATAATTTTTTTTACATAAGTTTGGCTTTACACACCTATCAATTTCTTCATTAATTTAAGCGCGCCTTAGTAAAATATGTGTTGTTTTTTAGAAAAAAATTTACCGAATCAGATACATTAAAGGTCCAAATAACACAAATAAACAACGGTCTACGTCCACTGACTTTAAAAATTCAACATTCAATAATGTCGGACATAAATGCTACCATTTCTATCAAAAATAATACCAAACAAGAAGTGAATATATTGGATATCATCGTGGTAAATCCCCTTATAAAAAATGTCAATTTAAGCGAAGATTTTGATAAAGGAATTTTACTTGGACCAAAGAAACATGTAAATTTGAATTTACACGCCTATTTTGAAAATAGTGTGTTTTTTGCGTATCCTATTGTGATAGTTACTGGAGTTAAGGGATCTAATACCAAAACATATCATCTAAAAGAAATTGTAAGTATTAAATATTACCAATGTTGGGGAAATAAAAGTTTAGAGGGGGTAGTTAGTTTAATTGATTGACTAATGTTTCTCGTTTAGCTCTATAGAAGTCGTTTTTTATGATGTCTGGTAATGATTAGTGTGTCATTATTGATAGCTGATTCTACAGTACCAGATACCAGGGTGTATCAGAGATTCTGTCAACGTTTCAATAAGTTAAATATTGCTCTTACAGACACACCCATATTTAAATTATACACTGCTCTCTCTCCTTCAGATGATAGGTCAGCTTTTTCTTTGGGCGTTAGTGACCTAAGACCTTCTCTCCTAAGGTACGATTTAACTTGGAACCCATTAACAGTACTGAATATCTTCAAGAATTGGTGTTTCTATAAAGAAATCCCTGTTATAGAATTATCAGAAAAATTAGTGATATTAGCATTATTTGCTCATCTTTAGCCTGATTATTCCACAGAATAAACTTATAAAGAACATCATCGATGCACTCTGGTACCCAGTTATCAGTTATCCATAAGGACCTATAAGTGGAGACTGACGACCAAATAATTACCAGAAATCATTGTATTGTTTTCTTCTTTAAATTTTATAATTTTTATAAATTGTTACTGGTTTAAATTGAACTTATTTCTGAGACATCTTGTATAATGCGTAACTATAATGAATCTTGAATACGCGGTAGTCTATTTTCTAGTTAATTTTTATACCTTGTTTTCGTAGATTTTTGAAATAACGTCGGAATTTTCATTTCTGGCCACTGATGAAAAATACGTTAAAACACAACTCAATGCTGTTGGAAGACTCAAAGATATGTTGGATACAATAATTCCTGGGGAACAGCCTCCTTTGTAAGTATAGAAATGTACAGTCACCCCTTCAACACGGTTTATTGATTTATGAAACAAAAAATTGACATTTTACATCTCTTATGTATAAGTCAATAGGACAGAGAAGCTTTCTATATCCTGGGCCAAATTATATAACACTTTATTTGAAATTATAATAACTTAAACTTTATTAAATGTTTAAAAATTTATACTAAAACTATACCCAGAATACAAATACATACATATATATTAATTAAAAACAAAAAAAAAAACAGAAAATAAAAACAAAATAAAATAAAATCATAAAAAATACTGCAAATGTTTAAAAAAAAAATAAATAAATCTAAAAATACTGCAAATTATTGTGAATGTGTTTTTTAAATGTTTTTTTAATGTTTTAATTTTTTTTTAATGTTTTTAAATTGTTTTATATGTTTTTATATGGTTTTATGTTTTTAAATGTTAAAAAAACAAAATAAAACAAAAAACTAAAAAGACAAAGACAAAAAACAAAAAATAGGTAGAAAAATACTGCAAATGTTTGTGGATGTGTTGTTTAAATGTTTTTAAATGATTTTAAATGTTTTAATTGTTTTTAAATGTTTTTAAAAATAAAAAAATCTGATGTGTCCAACTCATGGCTTTCCTATCTAGTTATTATAGGCTTTTTCCGGTTATTTTGTACAACCTATTGTAGCACTTTTATAAATGGTTAGAGGATTAACTAACTATATACATTTTCCACATACATCTAACTCGAAACATTTTTCTATAGATATTCATTGAAAACGAAAATACCTACTGAAAAATTAAATTTAGCACTTTTCCTCCAATTTTTCCATTACGGTCCATTTTAGAAAAATCAGGTAAAAACAATAATTATAGAGATCGATATCGCAAACAACTTCTAGTTTAACAATTTTCTTAAAAATCAGAATTTTGCACAATTTGTCAAATTTCTCGAATACGGACCATTTCAGGAAATTTTGACATAAAGCAAAAATTATAGATAATAATATTAGAAGTAACTTTTATTTGAACAATTTTCTTCTCCAAACATAAATAACAGATATATTCCATAAATTATAAAAACGGCCTCTTATAAAGTACCCCCCCAGATGTTCCGACTTTGTCCAAAATCTAATCAGTTTATTGGAGGCTGGAATAGAGCTTAAGTTTAAAATTTGGTGTTTTTCTTTGTATCCGTTCATGAGTTATGGTGGATACAGACACACATACACAGACATCGTCGCCAAAATAGTAGAAACGGATTCAGGGAACCCTAAAACGTAAAAATCCGTCGAAAACTGAAGGTCGAAAAAAATGATGATTCCTATACCTACAAATAGGAAAGTAAAAAACAAAAAATAAAAAAAATAGAAAAACAGGAAAGAAAAACAAAATAAAAACAAAAATAAATCATAAAAAATACTGCAAATGTTTTTCAAATTAAAAAAAAAAAACAAAAATAAATCTAAATCTAAATACTGCAAATGTTTGTGAATGTATTTTTTTAAATGTTTTTAAATTTTTTAAAATTGTTTTATGTTTTTAAATGGTTTTATATATTTTTAAATGTTAAAAAAACAAAATGAAACAAAAAAACTAAAAAGACAAATACAAAAAACAAAGATAAAAACAAAATAAAAATATAAAAAATAGAAAATACTGCAAATGTTTGCAAGGACGGCTTCAAGACGAATTTTCGAGGGGGGGAGGGGGCATTGCCTTTAGCCATTCCCTTTTTAGCATATTTTTTTAAATAAAAGGCCCATAAATCGTAAGAATTTTCATCTCGGTGGGACCATGTGTTATTTAAATGTTTTGATTTTAAATGTTTTAATTGTTTTTAAATATTTTTAAATATAAAAAATACAAAAAGAAAACAAAAAACAAAGTGAAATAAAAAAAATTGGTAAAGTATTTTAGCTAGAACTTCCCTCTATTAGAAATTAAAAAAAAAAACAGGGAGAACACCTAAGTATTTAAATTTTAATAATTTAAAATTAAAACCACCAAACCAAAACCCCCTTTTCATATTTCTCTCTACATCGATCTTCCTCTTGATCTCACCTGAAATTTCACTTTGAATTTTTAAAAACTTATATAGGATCTATTTTTGCTTAAATCCTCTTACTTGGCCTAATTTGTCTTACAGATCGTCTGAATATAAAGAAACCCTCCAATTAAGACAATTCAAAATTCCCCCTCACTTAAATAACAAATTAATGGAGTTAATTGAGAGTTGCCCACAATTCGTCGAAGGAGGCCCAAGTGGAAGGGCTTTTTACCCACATTTTTCAGCTTTTCTGAATATCTATCCTGGAATTAATGCAAACAACTATTATTCAAACATGGAGACATTGCTGCATATTGAAGAAAATCAAAAGTCGATTGACATTAGAAATTATGATATGCGTTCTGCTTTAGAATTTAAAAAAGGCTCAACATTATATGAATTAACAGTAAGTATTTTTTTTTAGATTAAATATCATGTATTAAATAACTTAGTCCTGATAGTCCTTTTAAAAACAAAACTGACGAAATTGTAATTGGTTCAAATCTAGCTTTTTCTCAGACATTCTTAACTCAAAAACTCAGTCGAACATCGGCAATTATTTATAAAACATATTTGTAACCATTGTAACGACATTTCTGGTCACTAGAACCTTTTCAGGCTCGGCGGGTCCTTTTTGCCCACAAATCTCTGTTTTCTACCTGTGTAAGTAAAGGGGTGCGTTAATCTTACTGGTATTTTGCCCACAGTAGCATTCAGGTACCTAAACCCGCAAATTACATCCGCCCACAAATAGGTACCTACCTGATTATTAATAATTCTAATAGGTACTTACTTTGGGTGTTTACTGTTTATATTTCAGTCAGTTTTTATACGTTGATGATTGTAATTCGAGTGTTTATAAACAATAATTATTTCTATAATGTCAGCTACATTGATTAAAAGCACACGCGGGAAAGATGTACTCCTTTTGGAGAATTTTACGTTTGCCAAAGATAGAGAAATGAAAAGTGGAGAAGTTTCTTGGAGATGCTCCCAAAGAAAAACAAATGCTTGTAATGCCACTGTATTTACAATTGGTCCTGAACTTTTAGTATCCAGAGGCAACCTAATTCATAGCCATGAAGCAAATGAACCGAAATTAAACAGGAAAATTATTTCTAATTCGTGTAAGCGAAAAGCAGTTGATGATATTTCGGAAAAACCTTCTAAAATTATCCGTAAAGTACTTGCTACTAATTTACCAGAGTCACTAACTACAATTGATGTGTCCTACATAAGAAAAACTATATACAACAGTCGTCGCAAAATACTACCAGGTCCATTACCTACAAATATACAAGAAGTGCATGATGCAGTTGACTTATATTCTAATACATTTAAAACCAGTAAAGGTGAACATTTTCTTTTAATAAATAGCAGAGAAAATAATATTATTGTATTTACATGTGAGACAAATATTCGTACTTTGTGTAAAATGAACGTCTTGTATATGGATGGAACATTTTCGTATTGTACAAAGTTTTTCCTACAATTATTTACCATTCATGGGCTGTGTAATGGACACTATGTGCCCCTGGTATATTGTTTATTACCAAACAAATCTACCGATATATACAAACAATTGTTTTCGTTATTGCATTATAAAATTTTGGAAACTTACAGTATTGCTTTAAATCCATCTAAAGTGTTCGTTGATTTTGAAACAGCAATTCATAAGGCGTTAATTTATATGTGGCCTAATACTGTAATCAATGGCTGCCGATTTCATCTACATCAAGCGTGGTATCGTAAAATTCAGTCTCTGGGATTAATGACTGAATATGCAACTAACAGTGATACCGGAAAATGGCTTAAAACATCATTTGGGTTGACATATTTAAACGCCGATGAAGTTGGAGACTGTTTTATGTTTGACTTAATGGCAAGTAAACCAGAAAATGCCGTTCTCGATAGGTATGCCGATTACCTATTAGAAACATATATTGAAGAAAATTCTACATTTCCTCCAAGTATATGGGCAGAAAAAACAGCTTCAATTACAAGAACTACAAATGCCTGTGAGTCGTTTCATTCAAGGTTTAATTCTTCATTCTACTGTACACATCCTTCTGTATATATTTTTATAGAAAAGCTTAAAGACTTTCAAATCGACACGTATGTCACAATACAAAGCTTAAGTATACCTAAGAAAATCAAAGACAAAAGTGTAGAACAAAAAATTCAGTGTTTAGAAAAATTTATACAGCGATTTGATCTGCAGCAAATCAGCAGATTAGAGTATATAAAATTTGTATCACATTTATCCCTCCCAGTTGAAAAATATGTAAATAAAATATAAATATATAAAAAATATAATATAACTTATGTATACTTACTTTTTTATAATAATAAAAATTAGTGTTTAATATAATTTTTAGTTTAATTAATAATGTGTTTTTACTTTTCGATAATATATAAAAAATAATAAATGAAAGATATATCTATTATGATTTATTCAGTTAGAAATAAATTTGGGCAAAATACCAACAGGATTAAGATGACCTTTTACTTGCTGTGGGCAAATTACCTATAGGATTAGCAGCTTTAAATATTTTGTGGGCAAATTACCTCCGCCCTTCAGGCTAACTATATAACAAAATTTAACTGGTATAATCATCTTTTTACTCAACAGGTTCCAGGATTAGGAGAAGACAGACCTTCTATATTAATATTCGATAAGATTTATGTAAAAGAGAGCAAAAATAGCAAAACTAAGTACGAAGGAATCGTTCATCGGGTTTTGGAAGAGACAATTCATTTAGGATTAAACAGAAGGTAATTGTATTTATTTGTATCTTGATTTATATTTAAATTCTTAAATCATAATTTTTTAATAATTTAAAGATAAAACGATAAACAATTTATCAGATATTTTTAATTTTTAGGTTTAATGATATTTTTTTGAACAAAAAGGAATATCACATTGAATTTGGTTTCAATAGGCGTTCTATTAAAGTTGAAAAACAAGCCTTATTTTTGGCTGAAAGTCATGGAATCGTTCCTTGCCTATTTCCAAGTAGAATAGAAATTCAACTATTAACCAACCAACCCAGGTAATTATTATACAGTGGCAAAACCAAATTATCTCCCGTACTAAGTAGATTTAAAAGTACTTATACCCAGAGAGTACAAATTCGATATACCTATATTTTTGAACGCTGGACGTCCTAAAATTAGTTTTTTTTTTTTTACGTCTATTTGATTATACGACGTTCTACATCCATGCAATGAATCTTAAACAATGACCAATAAACATTCGGGTCGATGGTGTAGCGGTCTAACGCGCTTATATTCATTAATAAGCAAGTTTATGAGTCCGAGACTGCTGGGCTTCGAATCCCAGACCGGACCATGTAGATTTTTAATTAAATTGCATGGTTCGGTTTAGGATTTGATGTGTGCCGTACTAATAGAAATTGAATTTCTATTGATATGACATGCAGATTATAAAATCGCCATACATTATCGTCTCGATGATGGTGGGTGAGGTTTTTCGGGTTTTCCTCACCTGTAAGTCAAATGGCACCATCAATCATCCTTAAGTCGCCCCGGAGCGCCATGGCAAAGCCGTCCCTTCCCCTACACAAGTCGTTCAGTCGACTTCAGGGGTTGAAATTATTATTATTATTATTATTATTATTATTATTATTATTATTATTATTATTATTATTATTATTATTATTATTATTATTATTATTATTATTATTGAACATTTTTGATAGAATACTGGACATATTATTTTTGCAACCCGCTATACACCATTATTTTTTTTTTTAATTAAAAATCGCTTGGCCTGAGCGGGATCGAACTCACGACACGTCTGTTAACGTTGTACACTTTCAACCTCTAGACAACTTAGACCAAAGAGACACTTGAAATATTTTTACTAGATTTGGTTGTAATAGAATAAGATTTCAAACTTATGCTGATAGTTTCAATTTGTCAATTTTTAATTATCAATTATATATACATAAAAAAAAGAAAGTATTATTTGGTAAGCTAAATACATATTGACCTAAGATGGATGTCCATTGGACGTCCAAAGTACTACTAAACTTAAAATTTAACATATTTATGGTCCTTCTTGCCGCGATACAGGATTATTCTATAAATTTTGTTTTGAAAACAGTTTTTCAGGTTCTATAAAATCTAAAATTTTTACTTGATTCATATGACTTTAAAATGCAATAGAACAAAATAGTGCCCCTATGTTTTGCCTTCAAAGTATCAAGATTCAATTCTTTGGCACTTATGAAACACAAGTGCATTTTCGGTATCATTCTGTATAGTTACAAGGATCGTGCAACGGAACAAAATGCTTACTTTGACTCCCTCAAGAGCATATTAAAATTTCATGAAATTCTGTCGGTGCGGAAAACCCATTAAAAGTGTGAAATATCCCGTGTACGTGGTTCAAGTAATCTCCTCACATCTGATAGTGTCGTCGTTCGTATTTCGAATTTGCAATATAATGTACACAAAATGAAATATTTCTTTACTGCATTATTGATAAAATATGGAATCTATTGTCTGTTTGGCTAGAACCTTAGATAAAAGAGACCAGAGATATAACATACACCGGTTTTAAACCTGCGCAAATGTTGCCAATTTCTAAAGAAGGGTTAACGGAGTGGGGGAACTGGGCGGCGACACGCGGCGACCCGAACTCTGTGACAGGGACCGGACTTTGTTTATTAGCATCTTAATGAACTATTAGGTTTATTTAAAAGGTGTTTAATCGAATTTTGTATTATGAAATAAAATTAACGTGATTTTTTAATATCAAACAGATGCCACGACATTTTATGTAAAGAGAAGACTTTTTATAGAATATTTCGTTAGCGTTTATTTACTACGGACTTTTCTGCAAGAGGTTACAGTAAAATGTTGAAATAGAATATATTGTTAATAGAGCAAAAAATGTTACTCATTGTCTACGAGTATTATAAAAATAGCATGTGCGCAGGCTAATACTGCAAATCTACCCTTACGAGTTGAACATTATATTTTTTCTACGGCTATTACATATTATTAAAAATTAGTCAAAATGAGAAAATGCTGTTTTGTATTGTAACCTCAGAAAAAAGTATATTAAGGCTTCTTTCTTTAAGAATATTAATTATTATAAAGGATGAGTCACATAAAACTCTAGAAATGCATATGTCTGAAACCAGATAACATTTTAAAATTTAAATCTATTAAAAGTCATTTGGTCGCTAGGAATGAGTGATTATCGAAATAAATTATCGATCATTGAAAATAATCGATTATTTTCGATCAATCGATTATTTTCAAACAATATATTTTTTGTCATTTCCTTTAAAATCGACTACTTGATTATCTTTGAAAAATCAAAAATAATCGATTAATTAAAAAGCCAATTAACCGATAAATCAGTGTTTACAAAATATAATATAAATAGAATTATCTTTTATTTTAAATAATCGATTATTTTCAAATAAACCATTTTTTTTTCGTCCATGGAAACAGATTATTCGATAATCTTTGAAAAATCGAAAATAATCGATTAATCAAAAATAATCGATTAATTAAAAAGTCGATTAACTGACAAATCGATTTTCAAAAAAAACAGAATGATCGATTATTTTAAATAATCGATTATTTTCGATCAATCGATTATTATCAATAATCTATTTTTATTGTATTTCCTTTAAAATCGATAATTCGATTATTTTTGAAATGCCGAAAATAATCGATAATTCCAAAATAATCGCCTAATCGAAAATATTCAATTAATTAAGAAGCCGATTCTATGATAAATCGATTATTACCAATAATCTATTTTATTGTATTTCAAAAATAATCGATTAATTAAAAAGTCGATTAACTGACCAATCGATTTTCAAAAAAAACAGAATGATCGATTATTTTCGATCAATCGATTATTATCAATAATCTATTTTTATTGTATTTCCTTTAAAATCGATAATTCGATTATCTTTGAAATACCAAAAATAATCAATAATTCCAAAATAATCGCCTAATCGAAAATAACCAATTAATTAAGAAGCCGATTCTATGATAAATCGATTTTTCAAAAAATAAAACGAATTATCTATTATTTTCTAATAATCCTTTTTTCATATTTCCTTTGAAATTGATTATTCGATTATCGAAAATAATTGATTATTAAAAAGCTGATTATCCAATAAATCGATAATTTTAAAAAAATAACCAAAATATCGATTATGTAAAATAACCGATTATATCCAATCGATTATTTTCATATAATATCTTTGAAAAATCGAAAATAATCAAATAATTAAAAAACCGATTAAACGATAAATCGATTATTTTGAATAAATCTACTTTTTTTGTATTTCCTTTAAAATCGATTAATAAATTATCTTAAAAAAAAAACGAAAATAATTTATTAAAAACAGCGGATAGATCGATTTTCATTAAAAAATATCAGAATTATCGATAAATCGATTATTTTTGTAACCCCTATCGGTCGCTTGCTTTTATCTGAGCATTTAGCTCCAAAATTTAGAGATTCGGATTTTTTGATCCAGTTATCTTTGAAATCGCATTCGATTGTATAATAAATAAATATTGCTAAATTTTGGATTTTTTTTAGTAAACGAAAATTATGTTCGAGTTGTTTAGGGGTTTGTAATGTAACATTTTATTAACGTGACTAAGGGTCGATTCCACCGTTGTGTTAAACGAAGTTTAAAATGACATTTTTACATTAACACTGTCATTTTAATCTCCGTTTAACACAACGGTGGAATCGGACCTAACTCCTGTAACTTTAGTATTTTTTTTTGCTCATACTAGATTACTTTGTTTTAAGACTGAAAATTCAATGTCACTTTCGATTTGACCGCAAATAAGATGAACCTTGAAATTTTAAGTAGGTCATCCTGTATTTCATCTAATATTCTTATAAAAATAAAATTTAGCTAGCAACTATGATTCTTTACCTCTTATTTATCTACCAAAAAGGGCTAAAAACTACCTTTAGAAAACATTCTTATAAAACTACTTTTTAAATACAAAATTTCATTAGCAATAATGCCTATTTACTATTTATTTAAATTAAATGTTCAAAATTTTACCCTTTTGTAAATTTATGTAAGTAATATGAAATCTGATTTCTGATGCTTAATATTTATTGAAACCCCTTAATGCGGATCTGAAGTATTCAGCCCAGAGAATCATGGCGCTTTATGTCAAAACGTTAATAAATATTTACCGCTGAAAACGAATATATTCATAACAGTAGTACTTGTATTATAAGTACATACAATTTTTCAAGATATATCGTGACATTTTGAAATTGAATAACTAGAACGCTTTAAATTGCTAAAATACCAACAAATAAATCAAAAAACAGCTGTCAATGGTGATTAAACTCAGGTGGAGGTAATCGCTGAATGGAAATCGGAGCAATTCGGGTGGCGTCGTGCAACAATGATTTTCAATTGGTGGGTTACTTTAGCTTAAAATAGACAACATGCGCAGTGTGCAATGTTACATCTTCGGTCTCTTTAATCTAAGGCTAGAACACATTGTTTTTTATTTTAGTTTACATTTTTCCAACCGGGTTTTGAATGAGGCACAAAAAACGGCAGTTAATAGTATTCTAATGCCTAAAAATTACCCGTTTGTGATATTTGGACCACCTGGTACAGGCAAAACGGTAACAGTGGTAGAAGCAGCGTACCAGGTAAACAAATTTTGCATATTCTGCATAAATAAGTAAAAAAATTCTTTGCATTTTTGTTTAGATAACACTGGTGCAGTAACTGTTACATTTTTTTAAAAACATTCAAGGACATAACAAATATTTTCAAAAAAAAAAATCCTTTTATTTGTCATAAAAATTGAAGGGTTTATTATGTCCCTTAAGCTATCATTTCGCAAACCGAGGCAGAGACCGGCTTCAAAACGCGCCGCGACAGCAAGGGAGACACAAAACGGTCTCTTCACGTTTGAACACATGTAATTATATGAAACACGTTTCGGTAGAAGCGACCGACGACATCAGATTTAGTATGGCAATATTTGCCGCCTTACTTCTGTCTCGGTCTCGCGTCGCGCGTAGCCAAATGGTACCTTAAATGTTTTTAAAATGTAAACTTCATTTTTGTTATGGTTTTATTGTTATTTTAACAGTAGTAGACTTAAATTTGACTTTTTTCAATTATTTTTTTATTTTATTTCTTTTCTGTTAGTTATGGAAAAACTACCCCAATAGCAGAGTATTAATATGCGCCCCCTCAAATGCTGCTGCTAATGAAGTGGCCTACAGATTAGTAGATATAATCTCAAAGAGCGACATATTTAGACTGATTGGGAATTATTATTCTTCAGTAGTAGAAAAGGGCTTCAAGAAGATCATAGATATTATCAATGTCGAAAAGGATAAATCATGGTATATGCCTTCGATGGAAGATTTGTTAAAACGAAGAATTTTGATTACGACTATAATCACAGCGGCGAGGTAATTCATTCATTTAACGCAATCATTTATTAGTTAATTTAATTATCAAGTAATTACCGATAGAACACAATGCGTGAAAATCAGCCAATAGCAACAACAGCTGATCACACTAGACATTCAAGGCGACTCAAATTGTTTTGCCTAGAGAAGCGCCGATGTTCTCTACAGTACTATAGTTAGTAATCACACAAATATTTGTTTACTTGCTAACATACATGTCAAATATGTAAAAAAGATTTTGTCGCGTTTATTTAATACTGAATGGATGATAACGGATTTCTTTTTCCATCATCGCATTTTCGCTCGATAGATGGGTTTAGCTTTTTGATTTTTTAGTGGAATAATACAATTTGTGTTGTATTTAAATTTATTTAGCTTTGCGTACATATAGTTCCATTCACTAAAATAATTGCAACCAATACAAAGGAGAAAAACTGACTGTTCTAAACACTTCACTTAAATTAAATTGACATTTTTCATTAATAATATTGATTAGATGTTTCATCGATGTCGCAAGAAGCCTTTTTACAGAAACGAAGCGACGAACGAACTTGACCGAGATCGTTGCGCCATTTCATCCTTATGCGCAGTGATTTAATGCACATTAGTGGATCAAAAAATAGATCTTTAAAATAAGATAATACTTTACAGAAACATTGATATTAATAAACAGAAAACATTGTTAAATTAGATTACATTAATTGGGATAGAAATTAAATGTTAAATAAATGCATTTTTTATGTGAATATAAATAATTGTTTTAAAAAGGTAGGTATGCAACATACAATACGCTGTTCGACATAATTGGTTGTCTAACAGTCAAATAACTTAAATAACGTACAAAAAACATTATACGAAGCCATTACAAATAGTTCATTTTCCAACAAATACCTATTTAATTAGTTACGAAATATATTATGTAACCAGTGAATATTTGCGTCCTCTTCCTCTTAACCTCATCTACATACTTTTTTATTCACACATCAATAAATTGTTTTTAGTTTCTTTTTAATTACGTTTGTGTTTGTATGTATCCTTCACACGGTTCGTAACAAGCTGTTAATTAAATTGGATAGATAAAACCGTATTTTTTTCAGGCTTGTCAATGGTGGAACACCGCCCGGTCATTTTACTCACGTCTTTATCGACGAAAGCGGTTTCGCAACTGAAACCCAAACTCTAATTCCAATAGCCGGGATCTTATCTAGTGCAGAGGTTCAAGGGAAATTAACGGGCCAAATAATTTTGACTGGAGATCCCAAACAACTGGGACCTAGAGTTCATTCGAGTTTTGCTCAATATTGTGGATACGGTGAGTTTTAACTAAACAAAAATACTATAAGTTGCTATATTATAATTATTATTATTATATTTCTATATTATTATCCCATACAGCATAAAAACATTTGGAAATATGCCAGAAACATTTCTGGAATGTTTCTGAAATGTAAAAATGTCTTGAAAATGTAATATTTTAAGCAATATTTCAGAGATAATAATTTGATACCTTTTAGAAATATAACAGTAATATTTCAGTAATGTATTTTAGTATATAGGGTTGTCTCTGGATATAGGATGAAATTAAATTATAATTACTAGACCTAGGAATATATGCACCCAAAAAGTATTTAAATATGCGCATATATATGCCGCAAAATACTTCAATATATGCATAAAAAATTTAAAAATATGCAGAGCATATGCAATAAGAGTAATTTGTTATTTGATCGAAATAGTTTATTAATATTTATTATTTGTTTTATTTTACAATACCTAATATAATACTTAATAATTATTAACTAATTTTATTTACAAATCAACATTATTATAAAACGAATGAACAATTAGATGTTTTTCTAAACTATCTGTATTAAATGATTGTCTCCTATCAGTAAGTATGTACTTGTACAAAGAAAACTCCTTTCGACATCTACAGAAGTAATAGGTGCAAACTTAAATTTTCCTGAAATATCTGGATGAAAGTATTAATATCTCCAAAGTTACCTGAATAAATATTAGCAAGGTTTCTTAAACAATAAATCCTTCATTTTTTAAAATTACATTTAAAAATTTATGAAAAATCGTCTTTCCAATATCGCCCTGGACATTTTTACACTCTGATTCAAACGTCTTAATTAAATTTACGGAAGTCACCAAAGGTAAATTTTTTTGTTCTAAATCTAATATAATTTAGGGTACAAATGCATAATTTTTTAAAAACACTAATTGCTTTGGTAATATGTGATTTTGAAACAACTTCTTTGTATTAGATATTCCCTTAGATGAATCATCAAAATTAAATATGATTTCTTTAATTTTTTCATAATTATCTGCGTAAAAAAAGGCAGCTTTAAGCCAGGTACCCCACCGAGTAATCACAGGTTCCGGTTGCATCTGTAATTCAGGAAATTTTTCTTTGTACAATTGAGTTCTTGGAGGAGCTTTAAGAAATATTTTTTTTGCATTACTAATTAAATCATTTATTAAAGGAAAATTAGACCTAATTTCTTCTGCAACTCTGTTAAGGCCATGAGCCAAACATGTAACATGGATTAAGTTTTCATAAAACATTTTTAAATTTTGTGCGGCTTTTACCAAGTACGGGGGGCATCGGATAACAGCAATAAACATTTTTCTGTTGGAACGGCTTCCGGAAGAAAAAAAGAAGACAATTATGTCTGGATAAAACGAGTTATTGTCAAGTTATTTGTTTTACTAGACTCGTACTAGACTACGTAGTCTCTGATTTTAAACCCGTTGATGTAGAGCACCAAGTAATTAGCTCAGGTCTCTCAGACCACGAAGCAGTATTTGCCAAATTTTTGATACCCCGTACAGCTCCAAAAAAAGTCCGTCAGCTAGGTAGAATTTTCTCTAAGCATAATTTCAAAAATTTCTATAATTTATGTCTAACTACTGATTGGAATGGTCTTTCTGAAGATATTGACTCTAAATTTTTAGACTTCTTAAATAAAATAATTATGTGTTTCAATACAGCTTTCCCCCTTCGCCCCATTAAAACTAAATGTCATAAATCTTGGACAACTAAAGGAATAAGAACATCATCTAAAAATATGAGGTCACTCATGTATATTAAAAAGTACACAGATAATCCCCTAATATTAAACTATATCAACAACTACAGAATATTGTATCGGAAAATCACCAAATCTGCTAAGAAAAACTATTACAAAAATCGCATCGAAGAGCTAAAAACTCCTCCAAAGAAACCTGGTCTATAATAAATGACTTAAGGAATAAAACCCGTTCTTCAAACAGTGTAAATCCTAGCCCAGATGAACTAAACAATTATTTCGTAAATGTAAGTAAAAATATCAAATCTAACATAGCTCCGAGTCAGGATGCTCTCTCCTTCCTCCTACCTACTAAAAGGATCTCTGAAAGTTTCTTCCTAAGACCAGTAGACAAGCATGAACTAGTGCAAACCATAAACAACATCCAAAATAAATTTTCCTGTGGAATTGATGGCCTGTCCACCAAAATATTTCTAAATATACCGGATGTAGTAATCAACATTTTAACTTCACTGATTAATGAATCCTTTGAAATTGGTCTCTTGCCTAACTGTCTAAAAACAGCTATAATAATCCCACTTCATAAAGGTGGCGACAAAACCAAAACCTGTAACTATAGACCTATCGCGTTATTGCCTACCTTATCGAAGATAGTAGAACGGCTAATGAAAAACCGTCTTTTGCCCTTTCTTTTCAAGCATAACATCCTCACAGCTCATCAGTATGGCTTTCTACCTAAAAAATGCACTAGCGACGCAATGTTTTCCGTTCTTAATGAAATATACACATCACTTAATGATAAACTTTTCACCGCTTCAGTTTTTGTGACTTCGCAAAGGCCTTCGATTGTGTAAATCATGATATTTTAATTAATAAGTTACAAATTTATGGCATACGGGGTTCTCCTTTACAATGGTTTAAAACTTACCTAGAAAATAGAAATCAACAGATGCGGGCGAATGGTGAGGATTCTACAAATCTAGCAATAAGCAGTGGAGTACCTCAAGGATCAGTATTAGGTCCAATTTTGTTTTTATTATTCATCAACGACATCACAGACTTAAGAATAAGTGGTAGAACTACTTTATTTGCTGATGACACCAGTGTAACCTGGAATAATTCTAACATGCAGACATTACAATCTATCATAAGTGAAGATCTAGTGACTATTAAGTCCTGGTCTGATTCGAATGGACTTTGTTTCAACACCAGTAAAACTGTAGCATTGTCTTACAGAGGTACTTTACAACCTATAACTTTAAACAATAATCTGATCCAAACGGTGACTTCAATCAAGTTTTTAGGTCTTTATATAGACGATTCTCTAAAATGGTCTGCTCATATAGATACCTTAGCAAAAAAATTATCCTCCGCATGTTTTGCCATTAAATCGGTTTCTAAAGAGCTGACTCCTTCTACTGCATTAATAACCTACTTTTCCTTATTCGAATCTCACCTTCGCTATGGTTTACCTTTCTGGGGTTCTTGTAGCTTATACCTTTTCGAATCTACTTTTAAACTGCAAAAAAGAGCAATCCGCTATGTATTTGGTTTAAGTAGTAGGACACATTGCGAAAATTACTTCAAAAATTTCAAAATTCTAACCCTTCCTGCTCTATTTATTTTCGAATCCGTCTGCTTAGTTCGCAAGCACATTCAAAATTTATCCGAAAGACCGACTCGTAGATATCCTACAAGAAATTTAGAGACTGATGTTTATTTAACAATGCCCACTTCTGACCTATTAAAACATTCCATTACCTACAATGCCAAAAAATTGTATAATAACCTTCCGATGCAATTAAAATCTATAAATACATACGATAAGTTCCGAAGACTGGCTAAAGCTTTTCTTCTAGAAAGACCATATTACACAGTAGCAGAATTTTATAACGTACCTTAGACATTTGAGTTCCACATACAATGGCATTAATTAAATAATTAAATATTAAAGTTTAAATTTAAATTTAAAAATTAAATTAGAATAATTATAATGACGGATATTGCATATCCATTGCAATTGTTATTCCTATTTTGTCTGTTTGTTTCTGTTTGTTTTTTCTGCTGTTTAGTTATTTTTATAATATGTTTAGTATTTAAGTTACACGCTTTGTCTATAAAATTTTTGTAAATTTTTTTACGACAATAAAGCATATCTCTCTCTCTCTCTCTCTCTCTCTTTATCTAATTGCTTTGAAGCGATTAGATATTGACCAATTTGCATTTCTTCGCGTAATGAACCTATCATTAAATGGGCTATATATCGACCACAAGAGTCTGTTGTTTCATCTACAATAATGTAGAAATGGTTTCCAACGGTAATCTCACGAATTTTTTCACGAGTCTCAATGTACAAACTGTCAACACCACGTTTACGTAATATACTTTGCTCTGGAATATTAAATTTACAGTATTTTTGCAAAAATGATCGGATATTTGGATTATTTAATCGTATTAAAGGAATATTCGAAGTCACTAAAGCTTTGCATAAATCTTCATTAAAAATAGCTTGTTCACTTCTAGACGATCCAGATTCTAAATATTGTTTCAAGGGAAGTTGACTTTGTCTGCGAGTGTCTTTAGATTTCTGCTTTGCTATATGTGAGGGTGTTTTCGCGTGTTGGTCGATTTGAAACTTTTTTTTACATGGAATCTAAAACAAATAAATTCCTGTAGATGTTGAAGTTTTAATTAAATTAAATAAATGCGTACGTTGTAAAGTTGCCCTACTTTTTTTTAACTGTGAGTTGAAATAATAGTTTACTGTCGTTTGATTTACCATTGTAAAAGGTCAAAATAAAATATAAAATTAAAAAGTACTTACAATTTCAGAAAATGTTTTACAAAACACCTGGTTATCACCTTCTACAACAAAATCTGAATAAGATTTTACCCACGACTCAATTAATTTTGCCATTTTTCCCACTGGTTAACACAACAATAAAGACTGAAATGAAGTTGAAAGTAAACTGAGTCATTTAGAAATTTGAAGATATTAATACAACTACCTGAAAGGATATTTAGCAAAACTTGTTGGTTTAAGGAGGGTGTTTATAATTTAATCCTCTCAAGTACCTACGCCATTAACCGTAATTTATTACAGAGAAAAGTTAATCCTTCAAAATTTTAGGAAATCGACCTGTAAAGGCATTTCACAAAATATTATTTTGGGCCAAAACTCATAACTTTAATATGTCCAGCCAATTAGTACGTCAGATATATGCCAAAAAATTAACAAAATGTCAATATATGTATTCAAAATCAAAAATTGTATATATATATATGCAACATATGCAAAATATGACGTTTTGCATATATTCCTAGCTCTAATAATTACAAAAGAAAAATTCTCTTCAACATAATCTATTTTGTAAACTTTTGTATAACATTTATAAAACATTTAGGTATGAAACATTTATGAAATATTTAAGAAACTTTCACTTGAAATGTTATATGCCGTATGGGATTATATTATAAGTTACAAAAATAATTTTGTTTTTTTTTACAAATAAACACTACTTTTTCTAGAAACTCCAATATGCCATGTATTAAAATAAAATAATAGAAAAGTAACAGATTTATTGCCGAGGTAATGAATCTAGCCAAGCTAATAAATTTGTTTATACAGTGTGTTTCAAAAAAAAGAATTAAATTTTTAAGTATAATAGATACAGCTCACGCATTTTTAATATTTATTCTAATCGTTATTTTTATAAATACCTTCAATTCTTATAAAAATGTAAACAGTAACTTTGTAGTTAATTTATTAGAGCAACTTTTTTGATCGAATGCTCATGCAGAGCTAGACTTCAAGAGAGAAAAGAAGAAAATTAAGTTTTTATTACCTAGGCAAATTTTTTTGTGACTATTTGCATTTATTAGTCTAAAAGTTCTATGCCCTCCTCTGTCTCTGTTCTAAAATTTATATATATCATAACTGTGACTCTATAATTAGGTATAATGGTTCTAGAGTTCCAGGTATAAATTAAAGATATAATAACAAAATGTTACTTCACTGTGCATTCTCGTGCAATACCTGAACTTTAATTTTCGCTCAGGGATGCAAAGTTAAGGTTTTTAAATACAATAAATGGTCGTTTCAGGTACCTCTCTTCTAGAAAGATTATTAAAAACTTGTGACGTTTATGCTAGAACTGGAAATGATGATTGCTACGATAACCGGTCCGTAACTAAACTTATCAAAAATTATAGATCTCACGAAACCATTTTAAAAGTACCAAACGATTTGTTCTACCATGGACAATTGCAAGCAGAAGGTAATGAATTTACCCACACTTTTGAAGGCTGGGAGCATCTTAAAAATGCCAAATTTCCAGTAATTTTTCATCATGTCGAAGGAGAAGATGTTAGAGAAAAAACGTCACCTAGGTAAGTGTCAATTTTTGGTTTTATTCTGTAAATATGCAGGAAATGCTATTTAAAACTCGCCATCTTCATAACTAGCCAATCTTAAAAATAATTTATCATTTCAAACAACTCTGTTTTACCCGGAGGTAAATTATTCTCGAAAATATAAAGTTTGTAAGGTGAAAGCTTATTAAAAATGACAAACTATCCTGAAAATTCGCCGGTTTCAGCCAGCGGCACGAAAAATTCATGTGAGTTATTAGCGCGTTGTCACTGTTCTGGAAAATTATCTCACATTTAAATAATGCAAAAGTGCGTTAGGCTTTATATTTTGCCCGTAGGAGCGCCGTTGTTTATTCGCTTTTTGGTGTTTCTGTTATTAACTAAATAAATAATATCCTTTTGGAAGTTGTTTAAAAAGTTTCAGCACTTTGTTTATTCGTTTACTGTAGGAAATTCAAAAACGTTAATTTTCATAAAAAGCTCTTCGCGATGAAAAATCAGCAACTATGTCGTGACGCCTGTCAAGTCATAATTTATAGCGATATCTCATATAAAAGAGAACCGGCTTTTCTTTCCTCAGAATCTTCTTTGAAAGGAAAGACTTTTTAAGATTCCATCAAGTTTATTATTAATAAAAAAAAGAATACAGTTTGGTATATTTAGACCCAGAGCTTAAGACTATGTGGGTCTTACAAGGTATAAATTTTATAATATCTTATTCACAGAAGAAGAATTCGATACCTGCTTAGTTATAATAATAACAATACTACTACAAAATAACTAATAATTGTCTTATCCTGGGTTTATAAGGCTTGACACTTACTGCCTTCGATCATGTGTGGACTGTATGACTGTGAAATATGTTACCTGGGGGTGAAGGCCTTATGCTCCACCCTGTAGCCTCTGGAGGATGCTCTCGAAGTTCTGGATGATGCACTGATTTTATTCAAATGAAACTATCACCTTATATTTGAATTTAATATATTCACGGCTTACTGGTTCCACATTTTACATATTTATACTTGGTTACATAAATTATTCATTAATTACATGTTACAACTTTTTAAATCAAATCGCACAAATGGTTTGACTTAAATTTCGGCTTGCTGCCGGTGTTGACAAGGTTTGTTGTGATGTGTTTTGTGTGACTGACGAAACGAAAGTGAAGTTGTTCTTTCCGATGCAAGCTCGCTGGTTCGCAACGGTTTTACCGGCTTTTTTCTCATTGGCCGTCCCAGATCGCATGATTGCGTACGTGATAATATTAACTGTTTGCGAAGACACAGGTGTCTTTGCGACATAGCAGGTGTCTGGCGGTCATTTGAAAGTCAAGCGTGTTGTTCCAAGTTTAGATAATTAGTTTATACAGGGAGTGACTATTCAGTACTTTGCTAAAAGCGGAGGTTTATACAGGGGGTGTCTACCTAGTATTTACCAGATAGGACATGTTGAATGTAATTTCAACAATAATAATTAAAAAAAATACATTAATTTAATATTACACTATTACTTAAACTAAGAAAATTCTATTAAGTGAGCTTATAGTTTTTTTTTTAAAGAGGTCAGTCCTTTATGGTGCTAGGAAGCTCATTGTATTGTCTTAGACCATCAAATAGTATGCTTCGGTCACCAAAGCATGTTCTTACGGCTGTGATTCTGAATATTTCGAGTATTAATATCTACGAATATCATAGGAAGTAGTAAGTTGTATGGATGAGTGTATATTATTCAGAGATAGGTTATGAATAAAAATGCATGTCTGGTATTTAGAGAGGAACTGAATGTCTATAATATCATTTGGACGATACAAAAGAGCAATAGGATGATACAAAGGAAGTTGAAAAGCTTTTCTTATTGCTCTATTCTGTAGAATTTGCAAGGGTTTTAGTCTATTTTGAGAAGTTTTGCTCCAAATAAGAGTTAAATATGATAGATGTGAATGAATTTGTAAATTATACAGAGCCTTCTTTAAGTCAGCTAAAAGGTAGCAGGCAACACGTCCCAATACTCCAATGGCAGGACTAATTTTTTTTACACAATTGAGCAATATGATGTTCCCAGTTGAGCTTGGAATCTATGCACAAGCCAAGATATTTAATGCATTCTGTCCTAATCAAATGTTCATTGTCTATATTTATTTGGAATTGGTTCCATTCAGGCTTTTTTGACCACTAAAAACTTGACTTTTTAGTATTCAGAGTTAATATATGAAACTTTAACCACTCAAGAATTTGAATTAGATCTTGCTCTATAATATACTTTATTTCGTCCGTCTGTATCTTTTCCAAAATAGGTGAGAGACAAGCGTCGTCAGTATAAAGTTGCAAATAACCAGCTAATGGTAGCTGAGCTATGGAGTTTATATAGATCAGGAATAACGTTGGTCCAAGAATTGACCCCTGGGGTACACCATATTGTAGATCAGCCATTTTACTTAAGATATTTCCAATACTTACAAACTGCGTACGACCATTGAAATAATCTCTGAAGAAAGACAATGCATTTCCTGTTATTCTATAGTCTTCCAAAATAGATAACAGTACTGAGTGATTAATTTTAAATTAACTTCTACACTAATCAAAAATGTATCGTATTTAACCTTAGAATTCAAAGTATAACATGCACAATAGAAATGAACAGTAAAATTTGTATCACACGCTATTGAAGATATATTCTGTGTTGAATGTTTTTCTTTTTAATTATCTTTTGGTTAAAATTCCAATGAATCTATTTAAGAATGTTATTCTTAAATTAGAAAGTAATTAAAACTTTCGCAGACAGATATTGTCCCAGTTGTGCTCTCCGCGCCTAATTTAAATTTGCATCAGATTTTTAAGAAAGAGATTAAATCAAAATAACTTATTGGCGTATTTAATATACAAGAAAAAAAACTAAAACTCGACCAAAAATAATTTAATCCAAATATTAAAATATCGTCCTACACGGTTATTTCTCTCAATTGGATTAATTAAAGAAGATATGTAATATACTGAGTGCTATAGATTGACGATAAATGCTTTTGAAATCCGAAGGGATTAAATCTGGGACAGTAATTCAAGGGTCAGTTCGTTAAATTTGGCCATCGCAATAATGAACTTTTTTTGGATAATCCAAAATATTTTTTCAAAAATTTCTGTTGCAACTAATCAAACGATAACAAAATATTGTTCATTTATTGTTTTACCTTTTTAAAGGTAATCAATGAAGGTAAAACATCATAGTGAACCCAAATCTCGTCCACCCTTCTTACGGAGAGCCTTTCTATGCGGAAAATTTCTCATATATAGGGTGTTTGTTCTTTTGAAATCCTCAAAGTTTCAGCTATCTTCATCAACTTCAATGATCGGCCACTCAATACAATTGTATAGACTTTAAACCATAGCTTTCGTGGAAGCCGATTTTGGTCACTTTTAAAATTTGATATTCATGTTTTAACCGTTGAAAATGATAGGCCGGTATTAATCAAAGTTATTTGATTAATAATTTGACATTGTAGTTCTGCTGATTTTTCCCTTAGATAAAGCTCAGTTTCTGGATTGCAAGAGAACCTTAATTCCTTTTAGGCGGTCGTTTAAATAATTGAATTTAAATAACAAAAAAAAAGATCTGAAGAAGCCAATATTTTAAGGAAACTCGCCTAGTGGTATGTCTGCGTTCTGGAATTCTTGAAGGGGGCCCTACACGTTTTCTTCTTGGGAAAACGGAACACCGACGAACAAAATAACAAAATATTTCGATTTTTCAATGCGAACACTTCAGCGATTCATACGGTACTCGCGTCTATTAAAAATCCAAAAATGTCCTTTATAAACGTACAGATGTGCGCCGACGCGAATGATTCCCAATATATTGGCAACAAATAAATTAAACTATTTTGATAAAAATATTAAGGGTCACTAGCATCCAATTAATTATGAGAAATATCAACATAAAATAATTATTATAAATTAAGGAAAAAACGCGTAAATACCTAACAAGTTCATTCAGCACCACAAAAAGAAGTTCTAGAGAAGAAAATACAAACTCCTTTTAGTATTAACATCGATATCACAGCTAATAAAACTTTAGAGAAGCTAATAATACCACAGCTTATACAATACAGCTAAAACACTCTCTTGGCGGCAACGGTTTGCGTCGATTTCGTCGCGCATCGCTTAAGCTCCGCCTTCGGAGGGAAAAGACGGTTTTGGCGTTCAGAAGCGTACTTAGGTAAGGTGTTGAGTCGTGCGTATAATTTCGTTGATTGTATAATTTCGTGGAGCCTATAATTTCGTTGATTTTGTTTGAGTTAAAGGTACTGTTATTATTTTGGTGACTCTTTAGCTGTTAGAAAAAAGAGATAATTCTGTTTGTGCAGTCAAAAGCTGTTTTAATAAGGGTTATACCTGCAAGAAAACATTCTTTAGTTTTTCCAAGGACCCAAACCGATAAGTACCACATTATAAGAAAATTTCATTGTTAAAAATTTAATTTATACAGGGTGTCCCATTAATGCGTTATTGTTCAATATTTTGTTGTAGACACGCAAAAAAGTTTTAAATAAAAGTTATATGGATTTGAAAAATACCTACATATTTTAAAAATATCTTTGGATATACAGGGTGTCACGTTTTTGCCTGGCAAATTAAAATGTATGTTTTTTAAATGGAACACCTTGTATTTTATTTTATGATGAAATTATTAACACTCTAAATTATTGTAAAGACGAGTTGCTACAGAAAATTTTTATCAGGTATGTATGTGGTTACCTTTTAATAAAAGCCTTGCGGATGCACTCCTGTGATACCTGTCCTAAATATAACAAAGATCACGTTGAATTAGATGATTTTTCTTTTTATTGCTTTTTAAAGGCATATGATAACGCCAATTCAGATACATTTGGAAATCTGCAACTGTGAAATGATGAATTTGTAGAACTAATATTCAATATTGAAAAGATATTTCCTAATAATTTTGAAGAATTGGCTACAAAAAATAACATTTGTACCACACTTTTAGAATTAATTAACCCAATACCC